AATAATAATAATAATAAAATATTTAAAAAAATTGTTTCCACATATTTGTTCCCTTTTTACTCTCATATAAAAATCCTCTATATTCCAATTGTGTGTTTGAACAAGAAATACAATTTTAAATTTTTCTCAAGAGAAATTTAATAAATTTCTGAAATCAAGTTTCATTTTAGAGAATTTTTAAATGTGGTTAAACTGACACACTATCCAGAGCTTGGGCACTTCCCTGTATCCAAATAACTGCTGGGAAACCGGATAATTGTTCTATATTTTTAAAGAACTGAAACAGTCAATTAAAACAAAGAGCTTTGACACGTTGGAAGTTCCTTTTCTCTTTATTGTAGAATTGTCATAATATCTTCTCAAGCTTCTCAGTCACCTCAGTAAAGAAAATTCTCCCTCAGCCTTTTCATCCCTTTCATCTCCTTGATTTCTTCAGTTTCTTCTTTCTTTTCCCTTTTTCTCCTTTATATGTCCTCTTCTAGTGAGTTTCCATCATCCTTGTTCTTTATCTTCTTAGACGGCTGCTGCTTCCCTTCCTCCACCAAGGAGATACTGTACAGGTGTAGTCCCATGAGAGCCACTGTGTGTCTCTCACAATGCAGTAATACATAGCTGTGTCTCTCACAGTAACATGGGGCAGAATCAAGGTGCTGGACTTTCTGCCGGTTGGGATGATCAGAAAAGCCATTTGATTTGTCACATTGCCATTTAATCCATGAATCACGTACTCTGGACCTCGGTGGAGAATCTGTCGATACCAATAGATATACTCATTTCCACTGATTGTAGAGTGGTTACAAGGCAAGTTTACAGTTTTTCCTTCAATACTGTCCATTGAATTTGGTTGTGTAGCTTTAGCATCACTCGTAATACCTGAGGGGTTAAGAAATAACAGATTTGCTCTTAATTGTTAGATGAAGAACACAAGCCTTAATAGATTCGCTCTTAATTGTTAAATGAAGCACACAAACCCTCCCAGCACTCTCCTCTTTGCTCCTACTCCGACTTGAATACTTCTGTGTGTGATATTGAGCAATCCAGAACTACGAGACCAAAAGTAACTTCCCTACCTTCCATGGCCTTAGGAAGAATAAACCCAAAGCTCCTCACAGCTTGAGGGCTGTGATATGGTACCCTCTTTGGATATGACCAGACCCTCATACAAAGGCAGATATCCAAGAGAAACACGCGGAAATAAACTTCCTAGAATTTCTGAAAAGCACAGTGAGAGAAGTTGAGGCAGTGAATACCTCTGTGTTTGTCAGTCACAAAAATCATCCTTCCTTAGTACACTTACCCAAATATAGAAGAATAGCCATTCCTGTTACCAACTTCATAGTTTAAGAGAAAACTGGGGTTCTAGGCACCAGCGCTCAAACTTTGTCTGATCTTATTGCTTCGGGAGGTTCCAAACAACAAAGCTAAAAACTATCATCAAAACATTCCCTACAACGCAGCTTTTGTTGTGGGTGTTCCTGAGCTAAACATCAGCCAAAGATAGAACAGGCTTTTGATTGCTTTTGCCTCCACCCACAGGATCTGTCCCCAACCTCAGTCTTAAATGTAGAATGATTGCTTATGCAATGTTCAACATTGATACGGAGTTTTTAAAAGGAGATCACTTTCATGGTTCAAATTCAGACAGGCTACATCTGTATAAGCAAAACAATCCACAAGGAAATTATTCACCTCATGTATGTAGTAGGAGACTCTGGCAATAGAAATGACTAATGTACTCTCCTGTTAACCTGATGGTTAGAAGTTAAAATGCACTCAGAAGTGCCTCAAAAGGAAATCCATATCTGCTTTAGAAAAATCAGCCACTGCAAACACTACAGAGCAGTTTTACACACATAACAGGGTCTTCCATGAGACAGAATCAATTTGACAGCTGATTGTTTAAGCTAAAGGCAAACCCCACCACAATTTGGTACTTTGATGTTCCATTGTGCTTAAACAATGATTTTTAATCCAATGTATCTATTTTGAGCCCTGCGTGGCAAGTGACAGAAGATGATTTCCAGCCATGTTAGCAACAGAGCAAGTGAATGGCAAAAGTAGAAGATATTCCTTTTTTTTTAAAAAAAATTATGCTATGCTAAATGAAATAAGAAATGACACTACAGAAGAAAATATTTGCAGCATATATCACAAAAATAATTTCATAATTGTAGAAAATTGCTGTGCTCAGTTTAACAAGTAGAGCTGGTTAAACCCTAGGCTAAAGGTAAGTCAATTGGGACTCAGATCTCCCACATTGACACCTGAAATTGTGTCCTAAGTGTCTTCTGGGTGATATTGCTGGAGTCCTCTGGTCTTGAGGCAAGAATCAATGGGTTGGATTTATTCTTATCCCACATGACCCAGTTTAAGCAATATTCTCTGATCACCACAGGCATGTCTAAGGATGTCATATTTGAGGATATGAGGAAGAAAATAAGGGAGATAGGAAGAGAGGAGGCATAAAGGGAAATGAAGTAAAATAATTTTGCAGTGTATTCAAACTTTATAAATAAATCAGAATAAAAGGGGGAAATTAAGCAAAAAAGAAAAATAGGAGTAAAAAAGCAGAGCTTTCTCTGGTTGCTCTCAGAAGTGGTTACTAAATAAATAGAATGAGATAAAATTAAAATGTCTCATTTTTTCCACTTTAATAACTAACCTTGCCACTCTATTATGATAACAAATATCTAGCCATTTTAAATTTAACTGCATACTAATCACTTCTCTCATTTCTTCCCACATTGGGCCAGATTGTTGCTCTTTATTTAGAAAAAACTTTGCACCTCCATGGCCTTGAGGCTGTGCACTCAATGTTGTTACAGTCCCTTGAGTGTGAAGGACTCATAGCTGACCTTCCAGTGAGTTTTCAGAGGTTATAAATAGTAAGGGAGAAGGTCATTCACCTTTCTCCCCAAGAGCAGCTGTGCCTGCCTTTGGGTTGGCAATGCAGTGTAACTAACTCCTTAACTAGGTCACCAGAGCTCCAGGTGTGCACTCAACAGAAGGTTTTATAGTACAAGGCTATGACAAGGAATGAAAGTACGCTCTTTGCACTGAATGTCCTCTTTCTCTCTTTCTCCTTGGAAAGCGTTTTGGTTTGTAATTCTCATAGCCCCACCTTGTGTCTGCACGTGTGAACTCCTTTACTTAGAAACAAAGCAGGGTTGTTCTAAGAAGCTTGTAGCTAAAAATACGTGTCTTCCATATCCTACCTCCCTCTAGTGGTGAAGCTGGAAGTGGAGGGTTGAATTCTGCAGACACTCAAAAAAAGAAGCATGTGGCAATATGCATCCATCAAAGTTTCAGCCTTAGAAATCCCGTGAGGCGTCTCTAATCTGTCTCACAGGGTTGTTACACATCAGCATTGACTCAAGAGCAACACACTCAATAAGTACGACCATACTTCTTTTTTTGGAGTGACTGTTAAGTTTAAACACTTACCTTTTGGTTACTATCTTAAGGGTTTTTTTCTATTGTGCCACTAGAGGTCCTTTTGGTCAGATATTCATAACAAAACAGTGAAAAGTAAATCAGTGCTGCTGTAAATAAATAAATAAATAAAAGAATTACAGGAATCACTATAAGAAAAGTTAAAGACAGCCATTAGTATAGCAGCCAGTTATATTATGCAAAAGTTAGGAAAAAGTTTCATCTAGTTAATTACTGTCAATTTCATACTGTGTTCTTTGTGTAGAGAATCCAAGATTAAGCAGGAAAACAAAGGTGTAATATTTTTTGTTGTGTTTGTTTTTATATAACAGTTATTTTAACAAATCATTAATATAGCATACAATTTACCTATTTAAAATGTACATTTCATTGGTTTATGGTATATCCCTAGAGCTGTTTTACCATTATCACATCAGTGTTAGACTATTTCCATCATTATAAAAAGGAACTCAAATACATTAATAGGTGATAATCCATAACTCACCATTTCCTCCAACCCACTTAAAAATAATTTATTGACCTTGAATTGATACCTACTCATAGTAGTCTCCCACATAGGCAACTGCTAGTGTACTTTGTGTCTATCATTTTGTACAATCTACACATTTTATATAAATGGAATTGTCCAATGTGTGGTTTATAAGGACTATATCTTGCAGTTTTCAAGATTCAACTAATTTTATTGGTATTAAATTCACATTATATAAAATGAACCATTTTCCCTCTTCTTTAATTTATTTCATACAAAATTCATGTACATTGTGTGTCATTGCCAATATCAGATGGGCTTGGGCCAAAAGCAGAGAGTACCAGAGGAATGTCTATCTGTATTTCATAGACTATGCAAAGGCATTTGCTTGTGTGGATCACAGAAAAATCGTGGTTAACCTTGAGAAGAATGGGAATTCCAGAATACCTGATTGTGCTCACACAAGCCTATACTCGGATCAGGAGGCAGTCGTTAGAAGAGAACAAGGAAACTACATAGGTCAAAATAAAAAAAAGGAGTGTGTCAGGGATGTGTTCTGTCTTCATACCTTTTCAATCTGTATACAGAATAGATCACTCAAGAAGCTAGGCTTTATGAGGAAGAATGTGGCATCAGGATTGGAGGAAGACTCATCAACAATTTGCATTATGCAAATGGCAAAACCTTACTTATTGAAACTATGGAGGGTCTGAAGCATCTGCTGCAGAGGGTCAAGGACTATAATTTGGGATATGGATTGAAGCTCAACATCAAGAAAACAAAGATTCTCGCCACAGGGCCAGTTAGCAGCATCGTGATTGTTGTTATTGTTGTTGTTATGTGCCCTCAAGTCGTTTGCGACTCATAGCAAACCTGTGTACAACAGCCCTAAACCCTGCTCTATCCTGTGCCAATCTCATTGCCTCTGACACACCATCCCAATTATCGCAATCACTGAATCAATCCACCTTATAGAGGGTCTTCCCTTCCTGCGCTGTCCCTCCACCCTACCGAGCATGATGTCCCTCTCAAAGGACCTGTCTCTCCTTATAACATGTCCAAAATATGTCAGACAAAGCCCCAGAATCCTTGCCTCCAAGGAGTAACCTGGTTTAACCCTCTCCAGGATGAATCTGTTTGTTTTCTTGGCAGTCCATGGTACATTCAATACTCTTCTCCAGCACAACAGCTCAAAGGCATC